TAAGATATGAAGTCAGAAATGGAAAAAGTACTCAAAAAAATATTAATCTCGATATATAAATCATTATTGATTCGAAAAGTTCAAATAACTGATTCAATAAAAATATAAATTGAAACGACACGAGCCATAGTGGTACTTTGGAGGGACACAGTTTCGAAGTGGCGAAAAGGCGACAAAAAAAACCTTCCAAGTCAAGAAAATGGGAGAGAACGGTGATTAGTGGTGATACCAGCTTGTTGATTCAACCGCATGGGATTGAGGCAAGAGTTAAAAAGTGGCTATATGTTGGCTACCTGACACTGGAGCAACTTGCAAAATATCCAAGCTGTGTTAGATGCAACATTTTACATAACATTAATGAAACTTTTTGTGCGAAAACTAAAATATATACTGACGCGAGGGGACTGAACCCTACTAAACAAATGCCTTCAGATGATTTAAAGAAAGGCGGATACTTAGAAGTTTGTCAGTAATGGCTAATATGAACGCTCGTCCAATATCAAAGTTTCTGTCATTTCCACTCCACCTACCCCTCTTAAGCGCAAAATATTTGGATCACTAGGTGACAGTACGGTCTGAGCTGAGAAATTCTGTCTCATTCCTTGAAATTTTATTCTGCTGGAGACAGATAACAGAGATGAGGGACGAATGACGTCGTCATCCTCTTTTTTATTTTCGTAGTACTAGTTGTCATCGTGCTTTTTCAATAGATTATTATATAAATTGAAGTATTTCTCTTTGTCATCAAGGTTTGCGATGAAGTGTTATCAGTGTCTCGGTCCTGAAAAGCCTGCCACTGAAGAGTTTGCCTCGAGGACGTCTATTTGAAGGATTGTGACGATACCTCAGTTTACGACAGTACAGGTGCATGAAAACCTGGACAAATTAAGGAGACGCTACGTACCGTTGTCACAAACTCTTGTAGTAACGAAGCGCGTTGTAACTACGGAAAAATCAACTTGCGTCGACTTTGCGTCGACATTAATAACAGTGACATTATTTGGGAAGGTACTTGGTGAAATCCTTCCTACATGCATCAATACAGAAGAACATATGGGAATACATGGTCATTTGCATTCATTAACATACATTAAGGATTACACCAAGTACTTACCATTATTTGCGCGCGGTTGGCTGCTGCACTGATGATGGCTGCAACGCAGGCTCGCCTATGGTCTTCAGCCCGCCCAGTTCCTTGCTTTGGTGAATTAGACCACAGACCCAGCCCAACTGCTATCTAGCACTAGCACCCACTCTATTGCCTGGTTGAAGACCTTTATGTATATTTAATCAAGTTTGACGGGCAATATTACGCGTGCACGACAATGTAGATTTATAGAGCTGAAACGAGTCTTCTTTTGTAACTGAGCTTAGACAGTCTCAGTAAGGCAGTGTTCTGTAAATTTTTGCCAGCACAACTTTCTGGTGAAACTATTTTGCAAGAACCTGATCCAAGATGGTAAAAAGTCCCTAGTTACTTCACAATGATAAACTAGCATCCGTAGTGAATTGCTTCCCAGTAAATCACAGACAAGGATATTATAGTCTCCTTCTAATTCTAAAAACGATCAGTGAACGCCACACATTTAGGAGAGGAAAAAAAACCTTTCGATTTCCACCCAGTCTGCTCATGATCTTCCCTTTCACGCTTAACTTTTCTTATCACATGACCAATAGTCAGTCTCTAATGCAAGTGTTGTAAAGCGTTTTCAAGGCTCGATATTCCAAGCATTTTTAGGTTTACCTTTTGTTTTATTAAGTCTCGCCTTTTCGCCCCTACGTGCTATTTTGATGAATCTATAGTTTTGATCATTTATTTTTAGTGTGTACTTGAACTTGGCTCAGTACTTACCGTGCTAGACATTTTAATCCCTTGTTATGGTTGAAGATAACTAGTTTGCTAGGTGGTCATGTTTGAGTTGGTAAAACTGACCTTGGGTTTTACCCACACTGAACATCCTGTTTTGGAAGTTCCCACGGTTAGCTAACCCAAACATGTCTGTGATTTTTGTATTTAATACTGGAGCACTCCTTGCTGAAAGTAGTAGAAATAAGCAGTGGAACAAGAGAGAGAATAAAGAAGAAAATTACAGAGTCTCAGTACCTCTTGTTAATTTGCCAAGCGAGTGGTAAAACCCCTCAACA